ACCTCTCCTACGCCGGTGAATCAAGCTTCCCATCACCCAGCACCTGCAGTACTTGGGGCCAACCCATTCACTGACAATCGCAGATGTTACACCTGTGAGAAACCCGGACATCTCAGGACGCAGTGCCCTGAGCAGAAGAAGATGACATCACCTGGCCAGCCGGCCAGCAACTCTCTTCTTCCGTGCTGTTTGTCAGTGGTAAACCTCGGGGAACCAGCACCAACCTGCAGCCAGTCGTAGTCGGCAACCGGACCGTAACTGGTTTCCGTGACACTGGGGCAGAAGTCACCTTAGTCCGACCAGAGGTGATAGAGGAAAAGGACATCATCCCAGAGAAGTTCCTTACCCTCACCGGAGTGGGGGGGGACCCGTTCCCGCATACACCCCGTGCCTATGTGTGTTCATTGATTGGGGTGCAGGAAGGGGGATGAGAGAGGTGGGAGTCTCGGATGAAATCCCCACAGCCGTCCTATTGGGTTCTGATCTAGGCACTCTTATCTCCTACTATGCACCTGCTAAGGACGCCCCGGATGCCCCCCTGGAACTCTCTGAACATACCAAGGTACTATGTGCAGATGTTGGGTTAATATCTGGGCAACCTGTGAATGGACAGAGGGAGGGGGCTGGGAATAGAGTGGGGTTACAGAATTGTCCATCTCCTGGAGAAGGAGAGGAGACCCCCTTGCATGGGGAGGTAATGAACTCCTGTGTCATTGATGTTACAAATGTAAATGATAATAATGATGCATTACCAATATTAGTGGTCACCCGCAGTGCTACAAGGGTGGCTAAGGCACAGGCTCTGGTCTCAGAACAGCAGGAGGATGTCTCTGACCCCTCCCCTTGTTCTGACCCACTGGATTCTGCCTCCATTGAGTCTCAGCAGCTGTCATTGTTTGCCATAGGACTTGTGACTTTGAGACAGCACTGCAGACGGACCAGACCCTAGAGCAGCTCAGAAGTCTGGCTGATCGCCCCCCTGCAGAGAATGACAAACAAAAGGTTTACTGGGACCAAAGAAAGCTGTATAGGGAGGGCTTGCCCACCGAAGGGGGTGGGGCTGACATTGGTACGAGACAGCTTGTTGTACCTAATCAATTTAGGGGAGAGAGCTGCTGAAAGTGGCTCACGAAATTCCCTTAGCAGGGCAGCTGGGGATCACTAAGACCAGGGCGCGATTAGTTCACAACTTTTACTGGCCTACCATGCTCTCTGACATAGCTGACTACTGTCGGTCCTGTGTTACCTGCCAGCGCGTTGTCAAGGCAGGAACCCCACTACAACCTCTGCCTGTGATTGACGAACCTTTTAAGAGGGTGGCAGTGGACATCGTGGGGCCTCTATCCATCCCTAGCAGCTCAGGCAAACGTTATATCCTGACAGTGGTTGACTATGCCACCCGGTATCCCGAAGCTGTGGCTCTCTCCTCCCTCCGGGCGGACAAGGTTGCTGATGCTCTGCTGGGGATTTTCACCAGAGTGGTGTTTCCAGCCAAGCTCATTAGCGATCAAGGGCCCCAGTTTGTGTCCGACTTGATGCAAGCTCTCTGTCAAAAGATACAGATGACGCATATCACGGCCAGTCCTCCTCCTCATCCACAAGCAAATGGCTTGTGCGATCGTTTCAATGGCACCTTGAAACAAATGTTGCGCACCTGTGTGGAATCCCAGGGAAAGGACTGGAAATGATATCTGCCTCATCTGCTATTTGATTACAGAGAGGTGCCTCAGGAGTCCACAGGTTTTTCACCCTTTGAACTTCTGTACGGGCGGAGGGTGAAAGGGCCTCTGGACCTAATCCGTGAGACCTGGGAGGGCAAAATTGTTGACCCAGAAGTCGCTGTTGTGGATTATGTGCTACAATTCAGGGATAAAATGGAGACGCTCATGGGGATGCTACGGGAAAATATAGCCCAGGCCCAGACCAGGCAGAAGCGTTGGTATGACCGTAATGCCAGGGAGCGGACATACAACATTGGTCAGCAGGTGTATGTTCTGCTTCCCTTGCGGCAGAACAAACTTCAAGCTGCCCTGGGAAGGCCCGTACCCCATCACCCAGCATCTGAATAATGTCACCTACTTGGTCAGGTTGGGGGAAGGGAGCAGACGGCAGAAGGCCTTCCATGTTAACATGATCAAAGCCCACGTTGAGCGTAATGCCAGTCTGCAGCCAACCGGAGCTCGAGGAGGCTGACCCCCTCCTACACCTGCTAGCTATCACCAGGGAAGTGGAGTCAGCCCTCCCAATCAACCACCACCTTACCCCTACTCAGGTACCTGGGCTGGAGAGAGTGCTGGCAGTATATGGGGGCAGGTTTATTGGGAAGCCTGGAAGAACACACCTCGCTGTCCACAATGTGGACACAGGGGCCCATCCACCTATTAAACAATCAGCCTATCGTGTCTCTTTGGAGGTGCTGGCTGATATGAAAAAATAGGTTAAGGAAATGCTGCAGCTGGGGGTGATTCAGAAGTCCCACAGTGCCTGGGCATCCCTTGTAGTCCTGGTCCCCAAAAAGGATCAGACGACCAGGTTCTGTGTGGACTACAGGAAGTTGAATGCCATCACCACTGCAGAGGCCTACCCCATGCCCCGGATCGATGAATTGTTGTATAGGCTGGAGGCTGCCCGCTATATCACAATCATGGATCTGAGCAGGGGGTTATGGCAAATTCCTCTGGCTCCTGAGGCTCGGGAAAAGTCTGACTTCATCACCCCATTCGGCTTGTTCGAATTCACCGTTATGCCATTTGGGATGAAGAATGCCCCAGCTACCTTCCAGAGAGTCATGAATGATTTGCTGGAGGGGCTGTAACCCTTTGGAGTAGCCTACCTGGACAACATCGCCGTGTTCAGCCCCACCTGGAAGAACATCTGGTGCATCTGTCACAGGTTCTGGACAAACTGACAGCCGTCAATCTGACCGTCAAACCCAGTAAGTGTCAGGTAGGCATGACAGATGTCCAGTATTTGGGACACCAGGTAGGAGGAGAAACCCCGAGGCCTGAGACAGGAAAGGTTGAGGCCATCCTGGCCTGGCCTACCCCGCAAACCAAAAAAAACAGGTTATGTCATTCCTGGGGACAGCCGCTTACTATAGGAAGTTTGTATGTAACTATAGTAGCCTGGCAAAACCTTTGACTGACCTGACCAAAAAGAAACTACCCAAGGTTGGTGTCTTGGACACCCAATTGTGAGAAGGCCTTGAAGGAGGCTGCTGGCACATAGATTGTGGTCCTGCGAGCTGGAAAATCTTTGTGCATGGCGTAGCTTAGAGTGGCATTGTTACGCAAGTGACAGCGCGGACTGAGATCGGCTGGTCCTTCAGTCCCGAGTTTGGTGAGAAGGGCTGGGGTCGGATGCCGCGCACCATCACGGGTGTGTCCTAGAAACTGTATACGCCATCCTAACCTTTGACACTGTACCTTTTTTTTTTTTTTTTTTTTTTTTACCTTTTGTAAAATGTTACAACCCTAAATATGAGTGTAACATGTTCCTGTAGAACCAGCCCCTGCACCCCTCCTCACTCCCACCCCAAGATTCCCTGTTGTGAGAGCTAGCGGAGAATTTCCCCATGCTAGCTGTCAGAATTTTAAAAACGCTCTGCCCGCCTGGCTGCACCATACATTGAGAGTTCTGTGAATGGGAAACTGTAAGTCCCGACAGCCTCTGCGACTGTTGGCTTGTAGTTCTCAAGAACTACCATGACACTGTTGAGCTCTCTAGGTAGTTCATTGATTCTTCCTGGCAGTGTAAAGTGTTTGTTCTGTGTATGGGCAGTCAGATTACACTGACAGTCTGCAGGAGACCTACATGGCACCAGCAATCTGCCAGCCACTCCTCCCGAACCCTCCACAGCCTAGCGCTCACTGGAGGGGGCAGAGCAGAGAGTTAGTGCCAAGGGCTCTCTTCTCAGGGAAGACTGAGAACTGAGTGATCAGCAGTCTTGGTCTTAGAAGAAGCAGGGGACAAGTGCTGCATCCACCTGAGTATAGAAGACTTTTTTTTTTTTTTTTTTTTTTGGATTACCAAACTTTTTTGTTATGTGAATGTACTGCAGCACATTGTAAAGCAGAAAACATTTAATTTTCAAAGGTTTTATTTTGTGTTCATGTGACCACAATGCCTTTTTTTCTTTATTTCCTCTTCCTAAACTGGGAAGTGTGTAAATTAGGATGCAGATGGTGTATTTTAGTACCTTCTTGGTCAGTGTGCGCAGCGCTCCAGAATACAGTTAGACAGCGAGGCTTCTGCTGGGAGCTTCTGTCAATCAGCAGGGCGTAGGGGGACACGGGGTGCTGAACTGACTATGGAGATACAAGCAGGCTGTGTATCGGCACAGTGTCCTGTATCTCTGAACAAGAACAGACGTGCTGACTTGCCACACAAGCATGCATCTGACTAGCAGAATCATCCAGGTAATTCTCATGAATGTAGTAAAAGGCTACTATGAGAAAAATATGTCTAGACCAGCAATGGGCAAACTACGGCCCGCGGGCCGTATACGGCCCGGCAGACCTTTTAATCCGGCCCGTGGAGCGTGATGCTGTCAGGATGTGTGTAGGCGGGGCAGCGTGACGAACGTGAGGGGAGCTAGGCTCCTCTCACAGTCCGCCCTGAAGACCGGAACGGCGCGGGAACACGCGGATCAAAGGTAAGTGAATGAATTACTATGGGGATGAATTACTATATGGGGGATGAATTACTATGGGGGATGAATTACTATATGGGGGATTAATTACTATGCTTACTATGGGGGAATATTACTATACTTACTATGGATGACACATACACATCATTCATCTACTCTTGGTCCGGCCCCGGGTCCAATATATGAACCCATTGCGGCCCTCAAGTCAAAAAGTTTGCCCACCCCTGGTCTAGACAAACACATAGAATATTTAAAAAGGGTTATCCCCCTAAATTATTTTATCTGAGTGTATAGTAAGTTACAAGTTTTTTTGCTCATAACATTTTTTTTTTTTCTTTTTTCTTGCAAGACTCCTACCAAAAGAGTGAGCTTTGACACCAAGGAAGAAACACCGGTAAAGAAGCAACTTACTAATACTGGACGAATACCTGGAAAAACTGCACTAAATGGTATGACGCCAAATCGGGGTGGAAGTGCACCTGTAACATCTACTCCACATAGGACCGGACTAACCGAAACTAGGTATGGAAGCTTGCCTAAGCAAGATCTCAGAATGAACTTTAGATGTAAATAAGTGCCCTAGTGATCTGGCTTGAGTTCCAGCTTTATGATGAAAATTGAAATGAGGCTTTAAAGGGAATCCGTACTGTTATTTACTCTCTACATTGCCTATATGGTCAGTCAAGATGGTTATATAATCTTAGCAATGAGTGTCTGTTCAATAGGTGAACATCTCACAGTTCTTGCACTGCCTGCTAGAGCACATGCTTTAAAGTGAAACGTCACTTAAAATCGGAAGTTCCACTAATTTTCCTTTTCTTTCCCTCCTCTTCCACGAACGTAAATAGTTTTTTTTTTTTTTTTTCTTTTCAGGGCATGGGTAAGTATTTCCTGGCTGCTCTCACTTCCAATCGGCTTGCCTAGGACAGTGGTCGGCAAGCCGCGGCTCGCGAGCCACATGCTGCTCTTTACACACTTTAATGCGGCTCTTCTGTGTGCCGGGCGCCCGCTCCCCTCCCTCCTCTCGGGCGGCCGCCCCAAAAGTCAGGACTCTGCAGCTAGCCCAGCAATGGGCAAACTACGGGCCCGGCGGACCTTTTAATCTGGCCCGTGGAGCGTGGCAAACATTGGCTGTCAGGATGTAGGCGGGGCAGCGTGACGAACTCCTCTCCTCTCACAGTCCGCCCTGAAGACCGGAACGGCGCGGGAACACGGCGAGAGGAACGAGCGGAGCAAAGGTAAGTGAATTGACACAATATGGGGAATGAATTACTATAGGGAGGATGAATTACTATAGGGGGGATGAATTACTATAGGGGGGATGAATTACTATAGGGGGGATGAATTACTATATGGGGGATGAATTACTATATGGGGGATGAATTACTATAGGGGGGATGAATTACTATAGGGGGAATGAATTACTATATGGGGGATGAATTACTATATGGGGGATGAATTACTATAGGGGGGATGAATTACTATATGGGGGATGAATTACTATATGGGGGATGTATTTTCAGTTTTAAAAATGTGGCTCTCAAAATAAATTTCAATCGTGGTTTTGGCGAGATTTGGCTCAGTTGAAAAAAAAAGGTTGCCCACCACTGGCCTAGGAGAACCAAGCGAAAGATCCGCCCCACGACCTTCAGGGGCACCGCAAAGGTCCCAGGAGGCTGCGGAGCCATTGAAAAAAGTGCAGTACTTTTCACCCTATGTGTAGTGGGGAGCCAGCAGGAAGTCACGGCTGTCTTCCCACACTCAAAATGGCGGTGCCTGGGACCCAAAGACTGGCAAAGAACTGCCACAGGTGATGCCAATGCTGGGTCCTTGGGCTGGTGAGTACCTGTTTGTTAAAACTCGGCAGCTACAGAATTTGTAGCTGCTGACTTTTCATTTTACTAGAAACAGCTGGTGATCACCTTTAGTTCCTTGGCGCCGGCACCTCCCGGCCCTTTAAGGGTTTCAGGGGCCGATCTGCTGACCACCTAAAAGATTTACTGCTGCTCAGGGGCTCTGGGCTTCACCAAATGGCCGCCTCCAGCAAGAAGAAACTGGAGCAATGCTGGAGGCAATTTACACAGCACACACACATTTTGGTAGCAGAATTATTGTGGAATGTGTTTCTGGCAAAAGAGCGTTTTTTTTATTTTTTTTATCACGTTTTTATGGGTAAAGTTCCACTTTAACAATCGCCTTAACGTTCTGGCTGTAGATGCTGCTGTTCATGCCAAGTCAGTCTAGCTCTTGGCCTATAGGTGACTTGGGACAAACCCAAACTGTGTGTTTCACTCGCAGGAGTGAAAAAAGGAAGAGAATGCAGTCTCCGAGCTCTGACCTAGAAGATTATCCTAAAGAGAATGATTCATCTACGTATGTAGAGACACAAGTCAACCGGCTGGGTCTAGCGGGTTGCTTGGAGTTCTGCCTTTTGATTTGCTTGGCTTCCAGGCTCCAGCTTTATTTTTATTTTTTCCCTCCTAATCTATTTTGCTGTAAAATTTCAACTCCATTTGTCAAGCTCAACCTCACAATTCAGGTTCATTGATGATGTTGTTACATTTTATCATTTGCCGATTATCTCTATGGTTTCATGGATTGGTTTTTTTTTTTGTCTTTTTTTTTTTTTTGGTGACTGATGAAAGATGGGGTAATTTTGGGCTCCGTGGACTTGTTTTAAAAAGGCCAAATAGAGGAGCTGCCCATAGTTGATAACTTTTTTTTGTTTATGCTGGTTAGAAATGGAAAATCTTTACATTTTAGATTCAAATAATTATAGGTTTATTGTGACCTATTCAGGCAATGCACAGATACTAAACACTATCCTTGTGTATGTAGTTTTTTTTTAGACTGTACCCCTTTTTTTGTGTGTGCATACAGACTTGTTATCCCTTCCCAGTTTACCAGTCCATGCTACATTTAACTAAAGCCTTACCTTTTTGTGTGACTTGATAACTGGACTGGAAATTTTATCTTATTATCTCCATATTTTGTTTCTAACCTTGTGTCTTTAGACCATCTATTAAATGGACAACACTTGGTATTGGGTTCACTGGAGTGCAGAAGAGTTTGGTCTGGTTGTGGGTGTTGCACACTTTTGTTTGCTGGAGAGACATTGGACTTCATGGGTGTGTGTGAAAGAGAGACTGTTGTCCATGGCAACCAGGTTTATTCTTTCTAATGTAGATTAAAGTGTTACTAAACCCCAGATCCTGCATTCACTATATCTGGTCTCCCTGGACCCTGCATTCACTATATCTGGTCTCCCTGGACCCTGCATTCACTATATCTGCTCTCCCCGGACCCTGCATTTACTATATCTGCTCTCCCCGGACCCTGCATTCACTATATCTGGTCTCCCTGGACCCTGCATTCACTATATCTGGTCTCCCCGGACCCTGCATTCACTATATCTGCTCTCCCCGGACCCTGCATTCACTATATCTGGTCTCCCCGGACCCTGCATTCACTATATCTGGTCTCCCCGGACCCTGCATTCACTATATCTGGTCTCCCCGGACCCTGCATTCACTATATCCGGTCTCCCCGGACCCTACACTCTCTAGATCTGTTCTTCCCCGGACCCTGCACTCACAAGATCTGCTCTTCCCCGGACCCTGCACTCACTAGATCTGCTCTTCCCCGGACCCTGCACTCACTAGATCTGCTCTCCCCGGACCCTGCACTCACTAGATCTGCTCTCCCCCGGACCCTGCACTCACTAGATCTGCTCTCCCCGGACCCTGCACTCACTAGATCTGCTCTCTCCCCCGGACCCTGCACTCACTAGATCTGCTCTCCCCCGGACCCTGCACTCACTAGATCTGCTCTCTCCCCGGACCCTGCACTCACTAGATCTGCTCTCCCCCGGACCCTGCACTCACTAGATCTGCTCTCCCCCGGACCCTGCACTCACTAGATCTGCTCTCCCCCGGACCCTGCACTCACTAGATCTGCTCTCCCCCGGACCCTGCACTCACTAGATCTGCTCTCCCCCGGACCCTGCACTCACTAGATCTGCTCTCCCCCGGACCCTGCACTCACTAGATCTGCTCTCCCCCGGACCCTGCACTCACTAGATCTGCTCTCCCCCGGACCCTGCACTCACTAGATCTGCTCTCCCCCGGACCCTGCACTCACTAGATCTGCTCTCCCGCAGTACACACAACATGGAAATGCAGTTATTTTAGTAAATATAAACTGCTAAATACCTGTTATGATCAGCAGTATATAGTAGTCTTCTGATTTCTTTCAGTGTCCAGCAGAGCACAGGTTAAAGCTTGTGGGAGGAGTTTTCTCTAGGAGGATGTAGAACCCCTGACCTCTGTCTGGACACTGCTGATTGGCCCTGTGCTGATCACATGCACTCTCCCCAGAAAAAAAACCCAAAAACCTCTCTAGCAATACACACCGAACTGAGCATGTGCAGTGTCACCACACGATATGTTAGGAGATATGAGGTATACACTGGAAATAGGTGAGGATCAGAGAAGACCGGATCAAACAGCATCTTTACACAATGCAAAGGATTAACCCCTTGGGTTCCACAGTGAGTATATCAATCATGCTTTACTGCATATACAGACTGATTTTACTGTTGTGGGTTTAGTAACACTTTAAAGGATAAGGAAAATAAATCCATACTTCCATGCTGCAGCATCTGCGTGATGCTGCAGCTGTCCCATGTCAGATCTAAGAGCCAGGTCACGCTATGAAACACCCAGGAATGTGATGTGCGATTCACATGCAATCTGGGTACAGTGTGATTTCAGCCCATTCATTTGAATGGGCTGAAATCACACTGCACTACACCAAAAGTAGTGCATGCACTACTTTAAAATGCACAGCAACTGGATTGCAAGTACAAGATCACTACACTTGCGAAATGCATTTGAGGTGATGTTAAGTTAGCACTGATACCCGCTGCACATGGAACGCAGTTTTCTTGCATCACATTCTGGTGGAAACTAGCCCTAAGACCGGTAGCTGAGTGATCACATGACCGCTGATCGCTCAGTGCTCTGCTCCGATCAGAGAGCAGTGACTGTCTGTCACCTGTCTCCACTTTACTCCTCCAACACTCACTGGAGCACCAGGCTGGGAAGGGGGTGGGCGCGGCTGGCTCCGGCTCTCGGCTGTGCACTGAAAGGCAGCGCCAGCTGTCAATCATGTAGGTGGGTGGATCTCAACAGTATTGTCAGGATCCTTCTAGAGCCTAACGTGGCTCTGCCCTGTCAGCTAATAGCGGGCAATAAGAGGACAAAAGTAATTGTACTCCTGTGACCCACAAGAAAAGTACAACTTCTCTTTTCTAAACTTTAAAGGTTAAAAAAAAAATGCACTTTTTTCCAGGTAAAAATATTTATTATTTTTTTTAAGGAGCAGAACATTGCACCAGGGATCAGCAGATGATGGATGTAATCTCAGGCTCTCACAGAGCTGCATTGTTTTAAAATTTTGACAGCGGCTGCAGGCAGAGGAAACCCCGCCCACTGTCATAAAAGGGGGAATGGGGGGGGGGAGATGATGCAGATGCTAGAACACGTTACATGTTGCACCCTAAAAATGGGTGAATTTATCCTTTTGACAAAACGTAACATATATGGGAGTTAATGTCCAAAACTGGGTGGGTTGATCCCCGTGCCGGTTTCGGATATCTACCTGTTTGTCAGCCCCTTCTTCTCATGCTGAATTTTCAAGTGAGATCTATTTTACTTTAGGCAACTTTTTGGTGTCTGGAACTGAATTTATCAGTCGGGATTACCAGTCAAAGCCTATAAAAGGATAGAGGATTGCTGGCAATCGTAGAAGACTTGTGCTTTCTTTTATGTTTTCACCTAATAAAATATGGATAGTTGTAATGCCTTTGCTTTTTTTGTTTTTTGTTTTGTTTTTTGCTTTTTACTTTGTGTCAGAGCTAGAATTCTTTCAAAAATAAAAAAGAATAGTGATTGGTTGCCATGGGCAGTGGTCAGCACAAGGTGTCTTGTCCCTCTTTCAGCTGCTATATCATTGGTAATAAGTTGTGTTGCTTAAGAGTGAGCTGGCTAAACCTCGTCACATATCACTGTCTCCATTCATGTTTCTATAAGAAAGCATTTTCAGGCTTGTGTGTCTTAACTGCACGGGATTTCTATGGCGCGCTGTTCACATCCAAAGGATTTGTTTGCACGGTTATTCTCTGGGCTCCCATAATTTTGGCAAGCTTGCTTTGTTGTGATTTAAACATGGCTTTTATGACATTTAAAGGTGTAAGATCTTCATTTTAACTTCACGCTTCCTGATTTGTGATTCTTCTCAGCACCAATAAGGCCTTAACAGATCCCGGACGCAAATTCCTAAATAGCAGCCGAGAGAAACAGCTGAATCTGAAGCAAGCGGAGGAAAATCGTCCAGGTACAATACCACCATATACGTGCCTTTTTGTTTCACTTATTTTATTTCAGGTACTTGTATAGCGCCGTCAATTTTAAGCAGCACTTTACACGTATATATTGTACATTCACATCAGTCCCTAACTTTCAAGGGGCGTACAATCTAAGGTCCCTAACCCTCAAGGGGCGTACAATCTAAGGTCCCTAACCCTCAAGGGGCGTACAATCTAAGGTCCCTAACCCTCAAGGGGCGTACAATCTAAGGTCCCTAACCCTCAAGGGGCGTACAATCTAAGGTCCCTAACCCTCAAGGGGCGTACAATCTAAGGTCCCTAACCTCAAGGGGCGTACAATCTAAGGTCCCTAACCCTCAAGGGGCGTACAATCTAAGGTCCCTAACCCTCAAGGGGCGTACAATCTAAGGTCCCTAACTTACATTCATACATATATTGGGGCCAATTTAGACAGGATCCAATTAACCTACCAGCATGTCTTTGGAGTACCCGAAGGAAACCCACACAGGTACAGGGAGAACATGCAAACTCCAGACAGGTGGTGCCGTGGCTGGGATTCCAACCAATGACCCTAGTACTGCCAGGCGAAAGTGCTGCCCACTTGCACAGTGAAGCAAGGAAATCTTACATCTGGGTTGTAATGTGTGTGCCTTTTTTTTTTTGCCTGTGTACACATACATGTTTTAACCCCTTCCCTCCCCCACTGCCTTCTGGCCTTTTACAAGGTTCTAACTGTTGGGAGGTGGAGGCAGGCCTTCCGATCATGTGACCGCTAGTCACAGCGGTCACATGATCGGAAAGTTCCAGATCGCAAGTATGCATTGGAAGCTTTCCGATATCTGCCGGTTACTGTGCTGGGAGCACACTCTGCGCACGGGAAAAGGTTTGCATAGGGACGTTAAAGCCCAGCCGCCAAGATGCTACTTATCTGCTCTGGTGGGAAATGGTTAATATTTACTTACAGTTGCAAGAAAAAGTATGTGAACCCCTTGGGATTACGTGGAGTTTTGCATGAATTGGGCATAAAATGTGCTCTGAACGTCATCTAAGTCACAACAATAGAAGAACACAGTCTGCTGAACATAATACTACACAAACATTAGATGTTGCCATGGTTTAATTGCATATAACATGTAAACATTCACAGTGCAGGGAGGAAAAAGTATGTGAGGCCCTAGCTAGGCCCTAGGGTTCACATACTTTTTCTTGCAACTGTATATCACTAGTCTAGAAATAGTTGTGGGGAAGACTATATTGTTCAGGAAGCGTTAACTAAGCACTGAAAGATACCTTTAAAGTGGTTGTAAACTTAGACATACCAAGTTAAGTGACTAGCCTCAAGTGACACGCAGAAATGAAGCAAATTCTCCTACATAAGTTGTACCTTTCTATCTACAGTATTCTCTTTTCTACATCCGTTCAAACTGCAGAATTGAAACAGCTTGTTAGACTGTCAGAAAAAAGGGGATGAAGAGCTGAAAGTACACACTGCAGAGCTCAATGTGGAGAGAGCTGATTGCACAGCTCACAAGAACAGAGCTGAGGCTGTCAATTTGCAGGAGGTTCCTTCTCCTGTCACCATTTTTCTTTTGGTGTCAGGAAAACTTGTCAGTAGTGATTCATGCTGATAGCAGAGGAATGAAGCAGCAGACAGAAATGATACTTATTAAACAAAAAATCATCAGCGCCAAAAGATATTGGGAAATAATTCCCAAAAAAATGCTGCTGCTCCTTAGTGATAACACTAATAAAATAACAAAAAACATAAAAAAAAAGCAAATATTAAATGTGCAACTCAAAACAAAATTTTCAAATAATATAAAGAATTATATTGTTGAATAGTCCCACTCCAAAAATAGAATGTGGTGAATAGAATAAAGTCCTTGTTCCAAGACCCTTGACTAGTATTCACACCCATTTGTGCTATAATCACATTCCGCACTCACCAGATATTGATGAAAAAAACGCCTTAGAATTGGGCTCAGAAATCCTAGATCCCCTCGAATCGGCCTCCAATCACCAGGTAGAGTTAAAATCCCCCAATTGTAGGTTAGACAAATGCCTCAGAACTCCAAACTGTAATTTAAATCAGCCTCCAACCTCCAGGACCACCAGAGATCACTCGCCATAGGAAGATGATTTGTTCAGAGAGAAAAAAAAAAACAAAATATATATATATATAATATATACAGTGGGGATCGAAAGTTTGGGCACCCCAGCTAAAAATTTACAAGATATTAACTCTGCAGGGTGCCCAAACTTTTGCAGACACCATGTTTTTGTTTTCTGTTATTTTGAAAGTGTAAATGATGGAAATAAAATGTAACTTTTGTTGACATATTATAAGAATGTCTAATCTGTAATTTGATGCCTTTTGGAGATTTTTCCTTCTTTCCTTGGCCCAAACTTTCGATCCCCACTGTGTGTGTGTGTGTGTGTGTGTGTGTATGTATATATATATATATATATATATATATATATATATATATATATATATATATATATATATATATATATTATTATTATACAGTATTTATAAAGCGCCAATAGTTCGCTCAGCGCTGTACATTACAAAGGGGGACAGAACATGTGACAGAACAATACCAATACAATGCAAAACATGAGGGGATCGAGGGCCCTGCTCTTTCGAGCTTACAATCTAGAAGGGATGGGATAGTGGTACAGGAGGAGATAGCTGTGGGGGATGGAGTGGTAGGAAGAGTGGAGGAGGTCAGCAAGTTAGCAGGGGTGAGGTAGGCTTCCCTGAAGAGATGGGTTTTCAGGGTGCGCCTAAAGGAGAGGAGAGTAGGTGATAATCTGATGGGTTGGGGCAGGGAGTTCCAGAGGATGGGTGACACCCTGGAGAAGTCCTGGAGGCGGGCATGGGAGGAGGAGACCAGGCAACTAGAGAGAAGGAGGTCTTGTGAGGAGCGGAGTGTGCGTGCTGGGTGGTACTTGGATATTAGGTCAGTGATGTAGTTCGGGGCAGTATGGTGGACAGCTTTGTACGTCAGTGTTAGGATTTTAAATTTGATCCGTTGCGCAATCGGAAGCCAGTGGAGGGATTGGCAGAGGGGGGCGGCGGCGGAAACGGAGCGTTTGGAAAGGTGAATGAGTCTGGCAGCCGTATTCAGGATCGACTGAAGCGGGGATAGCCAGCGGCGAGGCAGGCCTGTGAGGAGGGAGTTGCAGTAGTCGAGTCGTGATATGATGAGGGAGTGGATGAGCTGTTTAGTGGTTTCTGGGGTTAGGAACGTGCGGATTTTGGCGATGTTGCGGAGGTGGAGTCTGCACGAGTTTGTTAAAGATTGGACTTGGGGCTGGAAGGATAGGTTGGAGTCCAGAATGACACCAAGTACTCTGGCCTGCAGAGCGGGTTTGATATTGGCGTTGTTGGATGTGATGTAGAAGTCAATGGGGGGTGGGGTTCGGGCTGGGGGGAAGACAAGGAGCTCGGTTTTGGAGAGATTCAGTTTAAGGAAGTGGAGAGACATCCATTCTGATATGTCGCTCAGTAGGTGTGTGATTTGGGCAGAGACCGAGGGGGTGAGGTGGGAGGTTGAGAGAGAGATTTGTGTGTCGTAGTCGGCATAGAGGTGGTAGTTGAAGCCGTGAGAGTGTATGAGTTGGCCAAGGGAGGAGGTGTAGATGGAGAAGAGAAGGGGCCCGAGGACAGAGCCTTGAGGGACCCCAACAGAGAGGGGGAGTGAGGGGGAGGTGGTAGCATTATAGGTAACGCTGAAAGAGCGTTGTGACAGGTAGGATGAGAGCCAGGAGAGAGCAGAATCTCTGAGGCCGAGGGAGTGTAGTATTTTGAGGAGGAGGGGGTGGTCAACTGTGTCGAAGGCCGCAGAGAGGTCAAGGAGTAGGAGCACTGAATAGTGGCCATTAGCTTTGGCGGTTAGAAGGTCGTTGGAGAGTTTGAGTAAGGCGGTTTCGGTGGAGTGTAGGGGACGGAAGCCAGACTGTAGGGGATCGAGGAGGTTGTTGTCGTTGAGGTGAGAGCATAGGCGGGTGTAGACGAGGCGCTCGAGGAGTTTAGATGTAAGTGGGAGCAGGGAGATGGGTCTGAGGTTGTTCGGGTCATTGGGGTCCAGGGAGGGCTTTTTAAGTATGGGGGTGATGTGTGCATGCTTCAGAGGGGAGGGGAAAGTGCCGGAGGAGAGGGAGAGATTAAAGATGTGGGTGAGGGAGCGTAGGATGGAGGGGGAGGGAGGTCGTAGGAATTGTGAGGGGATAGGGTCGAGGGGGCAGGTGGTGAGGCGGGCATCAGATATATATAGATATAGATATATATAGATATAGATATATATATATATATAGATATATATAGTAATACTGTGAGATTCAAACAGGATGAATGCAAATACCAAAGCTCACATCTTGAAAGAATGTAATCAGCATTTACACAGGAACAGAGCTGAGGCTGTCAATCTGCTGGAGGATCCTCCCCGTCACCATTTTTCTTTTGGCGGCAGAAAAACTTGTCAGTAGTGATTCATGCTGATAGCAGAGGAGTGAAGCAGCAGACAGAAATGATACTTAGTGCTCTAGATTGAGACAAGTACACATTATAGAGGGAAATGCTTTGTTCATATTTCATGTCTAAGGGTTACAACCACTTTCACAGAAGTACTTTTTTGTAACATTGAAGGTTAATTGGCAAACTTCAGTAGGTACATAACATGCACCGTCAGACAGTATTGGGAAAGAGTTCAGCTCACACTTGTTAAACGTTTGTGTTTTTTTTGTACGTGAAGTGGAACTTCACTTTCTTAATCGACATTGACTATATTTTTAATCACTATGCTGCTAGCATTAGTAAATAATAAAGTATATCATTTTGACTTGTGTTAAACTTTTTTTTTTTTTCTTCAGTTACTTCCTGGTTTCTTGCCTAGGGAAATATCATACATCTCAGGAGTTCTTTGGAGGGAAGGAGGGTTTTTCTCAGCTAAGCACACCCTCCTGCCTGCATGCCTGAACTAAGAGCAGATGGATTCCAGGAAGTAAATGCTACATGATTTATCTGCCCTTACTCAAGATTGCCACGGCCAGAAATGCTATGGGGGTTGTTTTTCATAGTGATTTCTTGGCAAAATAAAACATGAAGACATGGATGGATGGGGGGAGTTTGCTTTGAATGTTAAAAATGAATTAAATACCATTTGTGTTTTGTGGTGCTCAGGCACAGTGCAGTTCCACTTTAAGTATCTGCCAGTTTTGTTGTCCATGAAGGGTAACAACAGAAATTTGTTAGAATTTGTCTTAGAGCATGGGCTTCAAAGGCCCATGTCAGACAGATGTCTTGAATGTGGAGTTTATATGGTAGAATTGCCTTTCATAAACAGTTTTTTGATGGTTGTCCTCTTAGCACTTAGATGTATGTCAAAGTAAAAAGTAAGATTCTAATGTATTCTAAATTGCCTGTTTCAGGATTAATGCCACTGCAGTCTTCATCATTTTACAGTAGCAGGTCAACTTCCAAGGATTATTCCACAGGAAACGCCTATTCAGACAGGTATGATCTTTCACATTCACAATAAACCTTTTCAAATTTTTTTACATTTCACACCTAAAGCAGTTTATTTAAGTAAAGTATGAGTGGCATGTAAAGGTACTTGGATAACATACATATCAATACAAATGGGCAGCACGGTGGCTAAATGATTAGCACTTTCGCCTGGCAGTACTAGGGTCGTTGGTTCAAATCCCAGCCATGGCACCGCCTGCCTGGAGTTTGCATGTTCTCCCTGTGCATGCGTGGGTTTCCTCCGGGTACTCTGGTTTTCTCCCACACTCCAAAGACATGCTGGTAGGTTAAATAGATCCTGTCTAAATTGTCCCTAGCAAGTGTATGTATGAATGTGAGTTAGGCACCTTTAGATTGTAGGCCCCTTGAGGGTTAGGGACTGATGTGAATGTACAATATATATGTAAAGCGCTGTGTAAATTGACAGCGCTATATAAGTACCTGAAATAAATAAGGACAAATGCAGATAATCTGTTTGCACATGGACATATTTTTAACATCCTCTTGATGCTAGAAAGCATTTCCCTTCTATTCCAGCGGATAGAGTGGAAAATTTAAATTTTAAGTTAGCTGGGCTCAAAACCATTTATGTACAAATACTTGGGGAATGTGGCATTTTATTGAAGCAGTAGAGGGATTTGTGGACAATTGCAGAGCGTAAAGACATCTCGTAGGTGGGAATTTGATTGTGCCACCTACAGTGGGGCAAAATATTTAGTCAGCCACCAATTGTGCACGTTCTCCCACTTAAAAAGATGAGAGAGGCCTGTAATTGGCATCATAGGTAGACCTCAACTATGAGAGACAAAATGAGAAAACAAATCCAGACAATCACATTGGCTGATCTGGAAAGAATTTATTTGCAAATTATGGTGGAAAATAAGTATTTGGTCACCTACAAACAAGCAAGATTTCTGGCTCTCACAGACCTGTACCTTCTTCAAGAGGCTCCTCTGTCCTGCACTCATTACATGTATCAATGGCACCTGTTTTTGAACTTGTTATCAGTATAAAAGACACCTGTCCACAACCTCAAACAGTCACACTCCAAACTCCACTATGGTGAAGACCAAGGAGCTGTTGAAGGACACCAGAATCAAAATTGTAGACCTGCACCAGGCTGGAAAGACTGAATCTGCAATAGGCAAGCAGCTTGGTGTGAACAAATCAACTGTGGGAGCAATAATTAGAAAATGGAAGACATACAAGACCACTGATAATCTCCCTCGATCTGGGGCTCCACGCAAGATCTCACCCCGTGGGGTCAAAATGATCACAAGAACGGTGAGCAAAAATCCCAGGACCACACGGGGGGACCTAGTGAATGACCTGCAGAGAGCTGGGACCAACGGAACAAAGGCTACCATCAGTAACACACTACGCCGCCAGGGACTCCGATCCTGCTGTGCCAGACGTGTCCCCCTGCTTAAGCCAGTACATGTCCGGGCCCGTCTGAAGTTTGCTAAAGTGCATTTGGATGATCCAGAAGAGAATTGGGAGAATGTCATATGGTCAGATGAAACCAAAATAGAACTGTTTGGTAGAAACACAACTCGTCGTGTTTGGAGGAGAGAGAATGCTGAGTTGCATCCAAGGAACACCATACCTACTGTGAAGCATGGGGGTGGCAACATCATGTTTTGGGGCTGTTTTTCTGCAAAGAGACCAGGACGACTGATCCATGTACAGGACAAAATGAATGGGGCCATGTATCGTGAGATTTTGAGTGAAAACCTCCTTCCATCAGCAAGGGCATTGAAGATGAAACGTGGCTGGGTCTTCCAACATGACAATGATCCCAAACATACTGCCCGGGCAAGGAAGGAGTGGCTTCGTAAGAAGCATTTCAAGGTCCTGGAGTGGCCTAGCCAGTCTCCAGATCTCAACCCCATAGAAAACCTTTGGAGGGAGTTGAAAGTCCGTGTTGCCCAGCGACAGCCCCAAAACATCACTGCTCTAGAGGAGATCTGCATGGAGGATGGGCCAACATACCAGCAACAGTGTGTGCCAACCTTGTGAAGACTTACAGGAAACATTTGACCTCTGTCATTGCCAACAAAGGATATATAACAAAGTATTGAGATGAACTTTTGATATTCACCAAATACTTATTTTCCACCATAATTTGCAAATAAATTCTTTCCAAATCAGCCAATGTGATTGTCTGGATTTTTCTCATTTTTTCTTTCATAGTTGAGGTCTACCTATGATGCCAATTACAGGCCTCTCTCATCTTATTAACTGGGAGAACTTGTACAATTGGTGGCTGACTAAATACTTTTTTGCCCCACTGTATATTGTAAATTTAAAGTGGATCTAAAGGCTGAAGGGGTTTTTTTACCTTCATGCATTTTATGCATAAAGGTCAAATACCTTCTGTGTGCAGCTCCCCACAGCCCACCCCAATACTTACCTGAGACCAATCTGAATCCCAAGAGCAGTAGCTCTCTCTCCTCATCATTGGCTCAGAGACAGCAGCGGGAGCCATTGACTTCCACTGCTGCCAATCACAGCCAGTGAGGATGGGGCGGGGCTGAGCCATGCACTGTGCGTCAATGGCTATGCAGCCGGCTCAGGAGCGAGTCTGCACAATTGCCCCCATAGCTTGCTATGGGGCTCTCAGCAGGGGGAGGAGCCAGAGCACTGGCAGGCGGACCCTAGAAGAGGAGGATCAGAGCTGCTCTGTGCAAACAATTGCGCAGAGAGGGTAAGTATAACATGTTATTTAGGGATGGTTCACACCAGATGCAGTCCAGTTCATTTTTTTTTCTGCATCAAAAATGCATGGACAGTAGATTAAATGGGTTCCAATGGCATGGTTCACTCCAGTGGGGTCAGTTCTAGTGTGTTCAAATGCAGAAAAAAAATGTTGAACATGCTGCATTTTTGTTATGCACTGAACTGTAGTAGAACTCACAAAAACACTTAAAAAAAAAAAAAAAATACGCTGGTATGCACCTAAATGCACTGGAATGCATGTGTCCTTATTTAACTTTTATCTAATGATCAGTACAGGTGGCAAATGTAGATGATGCTCTATTATTCATGTTAGATCCTATGTCAACAATGAGGGTTTAACTTGAGCGGTGTTCCCAGAACGCTACATGGGAGGATAGTTGTATCCCTGCTTATTCCGGACAATGAGAAGATATTGGTGGTAGAGCCTCTTTAGGTATTGAGTGCTTTAAGTGGGTGGTATGCCTGTAAGGCTAAAAGGAAGACTATTGGATTGCTTGTCTTGAGCAGGACTTTTTTTCATAAATGATTGATTGTGAGAATGCTGATTCAGCTAAGAGAGCATTACATTCATAAAGCCTCATTCAATAGGGCTTTTTTCTTTTTTGAAAGAAAAAAAAGGTTTACATCTGTTTTTGTGCATAAAATAAAACCAAGCAGATGGAGAGAAGATTTGGGCAACGAATACAGTTCTTTGTTTAGAGACTGGGTATGAAAGATGTATTTCAGGGGTCTTATGAAGGGTTTAACAGCAGTATCTCCTACCCTCTTACAGGTCATCTGGATCTACCCAGCCTAATGCTAAAAGAAGCTTGGTCCTCCCTTCTCAGCCCAGCCCTCTGTCTGTGAAGAAACTGAGACCCAATCAGGACTACACAGGATGGAACAAACCCCGGGTTTTCTCCAATCACCCCCAACCTCAACAGTTACAAGGGTATGTACAGTTCTTTCTGCCATCAATGTATTGGCTTCTAGCAGAGATCTGCGGGTCTGTTGACAGGAACACTTGGAAGTGGACCTGACACGGATGGTGTATGTGCATTATATTGCCAAAAGTATTGGGCCGCCTGCCTTTACATGCTCATGAACTTTAATGGCATCCCAGTTTTAGTCCGTAGGGTTCAATATTGAGTTGGACCCGCCCTTTGCACCTGTAACAGCTTCAACTCTTCTGGGAAAGCTGTCCACAAGGTTTAGGAGGGTGTCTATGGGAAGGTTTGACCATTCTTCCAGAAGCACATTTGTCAGGTCAGGCACTGATGTTGGATAAGGCCTGGCTCACAATCTCCGCTCCAGTTCATCCCAAAGGTATTCTATGGGGTTGAGGTCAGGACTCTGTGCAGGCCACTCAAGTTCCTCCACCCCAAACTGGCTCCTCCATGTCTTTATGGACCTTGCTTTGTGCACTGGTGTACAGTCATGTTGGAACAGGAAGGGGCCATCCCCAAACTCTTCCCAAAAAGTTGGGAGCATGAAATTGTCCAAAATGTCTTGGTATGCTGACGCCTTAAGAGTTCCCTTCACTGAAACTAAGGGGGCCAAGCCCAACCCTGAAATACAACCCCACACCATAATCCCCCCCCTCCACCAAACTTTACACTTGGCACAATGCAGTCGGGCAAGTACCGTTCTCCTGGCAACCGCCAACCCAGACACGTTCATTGGATTGCCGGACTGAAGCGTGATTGCATTGCACTTGGTGATGTAAGGCTTGGATGCAGCTGTTCGGCCATGGCAACCCATTCTATGAAGCTCTCTACACACTGTTGTTGGGCTCATCTGAATGTCACACCAAGTTTGGAGGTCTTTAGCTATTGACTCTGCAAACAGTTGGCGACTTCTGCGCATGCGCTGACCCCGCTCTGTCATTTTATGTGGCCTACCACTTCATGGCTGAGTTGCTGCTGTTCCCAGTTGCTTATACTTTGTTATACTCCCACTAACAGTTGAGCGTGGAATATTTAGTAGCCGGGAAATGTCACAGATGGACTTATTGCACAGGTGACAACCTATCACGGGACCACGCTTGGAGTCGCTGAGCTCCTGAGAGCGACCCATTCTTTCACAAATGTTTGTAGAAGTAGTCTGCATGCCTAGGGGCTTGATTGTGTACACCTGTGACCATGGAGGGGATTGGAACACCTGAATCCAATGATTTGGAGGGGTCTCCCATTACTTTTGGCAATATAATATATGGATACCATCTCTTTACTTACTGAGCGCAAACTGCAAATGTCTCCCAATAGTGGGGGTTTTTTTTTTGCCTTCCACAATAAAGATATACTCATGGATCCGCGCTTCCTTGCCACCTCCCCACTGCAAGAGTCCACCCTGTGTAAGCTTCAGTGTTGGAGGTTGTTCTTGGAGCTTCCTAACACTGAAATATTTGTTCAGAATTGTCCTGAAGCTTTAGTAAGACAGAGCAAATAACATTGACTTAATGCTGAGTTTATTAAACCAGTAGTAAACTTGCTGTTTATGTTGTACCTACAGATAAGCCTATATTAAGGCTTAGCTGTAGGTACTGTAAATATCTCCTAATGTGTACCATTTTAGGTGATATTTACTTGTGTAGCAGCCGGTGATGTCACCGGCGCATGCACACTGTGCTTTCAATGGACGGCACGCCATCCAATGAGAGAGAGAGCGGTGCCACGGGAATTATGTCATCACAGCTCAGCCATTCAAACGGCCAGAGCCTGCAAACCCCTAAGGAAGACTGAGTGAAGATGGAAGCCCTGTCAGAGGTGACAGCGGATCGCTGGAGGGCTTCGTTTTTTAACCACTTCCCGTCCAGCTCATGTATATAAACGGCCGGATGGTGGCAGTACAGGGTCAGGTGGCCGTTTATAAACGCCTCCCCATGCCCTGCTTGTGGGAGACACAATGGAACACCAATCATCGTACAGAAGCACTGTGCGAGGTCCCGATCATGTGATCACTGATTGGTCAATCAGTGATCACATGCAGAGTAGTAAGCAAGATGTCATTTCTGACATCATTGCTTACAACGTGTGAAATCTGTGAATGATCACAGAGGTCACATGGTACAGGGCTATTCCCAACAGCCTTGTACCATGTGACAAGCTGTGACTAATCACAGCTCACACAGTATAATTCTCAATGGCTGCAAGAATGCTAGAGAGAAGGAGAAATGATTGCTTTTACAGCCTCTATGGGTGTAAAAGCAATCCGTGTTTTTAAAAAAAAAAAAAAAAAAAAAAATCTGTACTGCTAGGGTGATGGTTTGTTACCAAAAAAAAAATAATATAAAAATAAGTAAAAAAAAAAAAAAGTTTAAAAATTATAATTTTTGGTTATAAACTAATTTGGGTTATATATATTTTATTTTTTTTTTTTTTACTAAAAAGATAACAACAAATAAATTTTGGCCAAGATTTATGATGAAATACTATTTATTTGCAAAATTTTATAAAACACTTTTTTTTCAAAATTTTTGGACTTTTTCATTTACATAGCAAAAAAAATTAAATCCCAGTGGTGAATGAATACCACCAAAATAAAGCTTTATCCGTCTCAAAAAAAATGCTAAATTCATATGGGTACAGTGTTGCTCCCCAACTCCATTAACCATGTTCAAGGTGCTAGAGGAACACCATGGTAGACAACAAGTCCTGGTATGATCAGATCCCAGAGCTCAGAGTGCATATTATGACATTTTCTTGCAGTGGGAAAGCTTTTGTGTTTTTTTTTTTGTTTTTTTTGTTTTTTAATTCCCCTGCGACTTTACTATTGCTTTACCCATAGCAGCCAATCAGATTGCAGTTTAGTGAAGTGATTAAGTGAAAACAGTGATTTGTTGCTCTGGGGTAATTAACTTTTCATATAACTATTTATTTTGTATTATTAAGCCTTTTTTATGTTTATGCTGTGATAGCCTTTAAAACCGATACCAAGTGAGGCAGTTATGCCCTAGGCATTAATGCACAGTTTGGAGATGTAACATATTATACCTGGTTATCTCCGCACAGTTTTTCCAACTTGGGGAACACTTGCTACATGAATGCAATCCTGCAGTCCCTGTTTTCTCTGCAGCCATTTGCTAATGATCTGCTCAAGCAAGGTATTCCATACAAAAGGATCCCGATGAATGCTTTAATCAGGTATGGCTCTGCTTTTCAGTTGTTTATTGCAGGATAATATAATTTACAGTATAGCACTGTTTCCTGCTTGCATATGGCCAGTCACCATGAAGTTTGCTATTTGTGTTGCAGACGCTTTGCCTTTTTGCTGGCCAAAAAGGATGTCTGCAGCGCTGAAATGAAGAAAGATTTATTGAAGAAGGTTAAGAGCGCCATCTCTGCCACGGGCCGAGCGATTTTCAGGCTACATGCAGAATGTAAGTAACCAGTACATACAGTATATACGATTTGGAAGGTGGATTAATTTGGCAATTCAGCAAACATTTTCTATCAGACCGCCGCTCATTAGCTGATCACTATAATTGACTGCTATTTTTTCACCTCAGGTAAACTGAGCTTAGAAAGGAACCCCGGCCTAAACCATGGGGAAGGGTTAGAACCCCTGATGGATTCATATTGCTTGTGTATCCGTGAAAAGAGATTTCCCTTCATTTCCGTTCAAGAAAATGAAGAAGCGTGTAGCATAAATCACAGCAAAGTAAAGAGAGAGTTACTGTAGTCAGGTGACCGCACTTGGCACACTGGCATCTGTCACTTTTTTGTTTTGCCATGTCAGTGCTCATTGTATCTGTTATTTATTGGTAATGTATAGGCTGCTGTCTATAATAGGTAAGGATTTTAAACTGGAACTTTACCTTTTTAACAACTAGATAAAAAAATGTTCTTTAGCAAGAAATGTACATTCCACATTAATAATGATGCTACCAATATAATGTGTGCTGTAAATTTAAATACAAATAACCTGCGCTTGGATAAATAAACTAATCTAAAAAAGTAACGTAGAAAAGCAGCTCGCACATCAGGCAATAAACATAATGGTAAATGAATAAAATTGCAACGCTAATGAAAAAACATTAAGTCCAATAAATCAAAACCGTTCCAGTTAAAGTCCAAAAAACATTCCCATGATCCACCATCACCAGGACACCTGAATGGTTCAGCCTCTTACCAGAAATTCTGACCGAAACACACCAGTCAATATAGGCAACTCAAATGGGAGATGAAATGTAGATCATGGAACCAGCTATCCTCATCCAGGTGGATATTAATCTTCCCCTTTATAGACCTGAAATGGTCCTAAAAGAAGACTCCCATCCAATATTTAGAATAAAAGAAAAAGGCCACCCATGGTGTAGTATTTAAGTAATAAAATCACCCTATTTAATTACAAGGTACTCGTACATTGTTTTGGATGGTTACCAGCATTTGAATCAAGTTTCCAACCAGGAAAATGGCCGCCGTCCCTCCAAAAAACGTGATGACGTCACACGCCGAAGCTCCACCCAACGCGTTTTGTCATCCAATTGATGTCGTCATTTAATGACGAAACTCGTCGGGTGGAGCTTCAGCGTGTGATGTCATAAATATTGGATGGGAGTCTTCTTTTAGGACCGATTTCAGATCTTTAAAGGGGAAGATTGATATCCACCTGGATGAGGATTGCTGGTTCCATGACCTACGTTTTCATCTCGCTTTTGAGTTGCTTATAATGAACGGTGTGTTTTGGTCAGAATTTCTAGTAAGAGGCTGAACCATTCGGGTGTCCTGGTGATGGTGTGCTGTAAATTGCCTGCGGCCATTTTGCTGAAGCCCAGAGTCCTGAGCAGCATTAAATCTTTAGGCTGTCAGCTGATTGGCCTCTACAAATTCGGCACAGTGCCTAAAAATAGAGAACAAATGAGCATGTGCAGAGCAGGGTGAGACAGCGTATTACTAGATTGTAAAACATTAAAAATAAGTGCCTATACAGTTTAAATAGTTATACCTGCAAAAGGGACCAGCCCAAAGTGATCTAGCTGGGCTTAGTTTTCTGTCGAAGAAACGTGACTCCTGCCACATAGGCTATTCTCTCCTGCAGCCACCTGGGATGCCTTTGTCACATATACAAAGAGGCAGCAGTTTTTTTTTTCAGCAGGGGACATTTTCCAAGATCTCACTATGGCAACATATAAACTACATGTCCCAGCAATGGATCTCGCTCTGTGCATGCATGAGAGCTGGCGCTACATCATAGGGATGCTGGTTTACGGCTCCCAATGACATGCAGAAAGATGACAGCACGGTTCCAGTTATGTAGCTGCAGAGGAAAAACGCAGGATTCCTTCGGATTGCAAGTACGTTTATGCAGCATAAATCAGCAATAATGGTATAAGGGGAATTTAGGGGGAAAACCATTTTAACGAAGGAAGGGGGGATGCACTCTTTAATACATGTAAGTACCTGAATTTGCATATCAGGCTCTTGCAGTCCCTGTACAGCATAGCTCAGAAAGGAAGGAAAAAGCAGCACAAGTAGAGAAATGATCTGCAACTCCTTGCTTCCTCTTAAGTCTTCATAATTTATTGATTTTCCATAAAAGACCACAATATCCAGACAGCAAATGTGAACGTGTTTCAGCCTTGTGGGCCTTGCTCCTACCAAGAATGACACAATATATGGTGTGCAAACCCCTCCTGGCACCATATGCCGTCAGTTAGCCAATTAATAGGAATAGTCAGTTCTAATGTTGGAACAAGAAAAATGTTGATAGAGATCAGAGTCGTAATAGATGAGCTCATCAGTCTGTCGCTTCTCCTTTCATTGTGCCTGCCAGATCCTTTGGAAAGTAAAGTTGCTCCCATATATGTATTTATTTGGTTTGGTGTTTGCTCGGAGTTGTGCTTTAACACTGCGACTTGCATTGTTCTAGGATGCCCATGAATTCTTGAGCCAGTGCCTTGATCAGCTAAAGGAAGACATGGGAAAGCTGAACAAAACCTGGAAGTCAGAACTGTCCTCAGATGATGCGTCTGGAGTGAAAGCCATAGATGACATCACTGCCACCCGTGTCTACACTTGTCCGGTCATCAACAATTTTGAATTTGAAGCTCAGCATTCCATTATCTGTAAAATGTAAGCATGTATTTTTGAATTTTATTTATTTATTTTTTTTAAATTCCAAACCACTTTAACTTTAAAGTACATAATATTGTGGTTTCAAACCTTTTAATAAATTTCCACTCTGCCTTATTGTCTGGGACACAAGATCCCAGGAGCCGTGCAGGCTGTGCATTTACAACTCGTGGTTTCTGTTGGCGGTTGAAGTTCTGCTTCACTTGTCCATTAACCCTCTTAATCCCTATTTCATAATTTTTTTTTATTTTTCTTTGTGATATAAACACTTTCAATGATGACTGATCATTTGCTTTCTGTTTTGCATGTATACTGGTTTGTGGATTCTTCCACCAATGTCTGGCTGTAGCTCATACATCTTCTTTTAGGACCCTGGATTTAAAAAAAAAAAAAAAAAAAACTCAGTTGGTGCCAATACATGGATACAGAGAGTGAGTAGCTGCATCATTATTTTTAAGGGCTGGTTCACACCAGTGTGCAAAGACATCAGTTGTTCTGCAAGGGCATCATTTGTTCTCTTATGTGCCCTGTTCACACCAATATCAATATCACAGATTTTTTTTCTGCTCAGGAATCTGCAACATGTAAACCTCATTGAAGCACGCATGCAAACTGATGTCTCTGCAAATGAAATCTGCATGTCCGTTTCCATCAGTTTTTTTTTTTTTTTTTTTTTTGCACGTATGGTGTGAACGAGGCCTAACAGAATAGTTTTTAGAACAAATATATTAAAAGCACCAACATTAACCATAAGGTACATAGTTTGCTGGTAAATAACAGGATATGCACACACACATACATTAGCAGCAGATCATTCCACAGTACAGATCAGTAGGTTTTACAACAAGCATGGTGGATAAAAATCAATGATTGTTTTAAAAAAAAAATCAGATTTTTTTTATTTAAATCTGATTTTTTTTAATAAAATGCTTTTTGAGGAAAATATATTACCATCCAAAGGTTATTCCATCATGAAATAAAGATTAGTTTTTTAATTATGTAGAATAAGGCTGTATATGTTTAATTTTTTTGGTAAATAAATTCCATGAATCCATTCACAATGTCATGCTCTTCCAGAGGTTTTTGTAAGATTATTGGGCAGTTTCTCTGCCTACAAGATATTATCACAGATGATTGGTTTACTTTTTCAGTTCTCAAAACTGAATTTGATTCAGCGGAGATCACATGCCTCTTCTTCACAGCAAAAATGTTATAACATGAACAGAGTTCAGAAAAAGACCTTCATCCTAACTTCTACAAACCTATGAATACAGAATCAACCCGTTTCAGTGCTAAGTTTCAAGAAGTTCAGTGAATAGAATAGAAACAATATTTTTCTGATTGTTTGGAGTGGAATAGATCTGCACAAGAAGAAAGTGAAACTAAGTGTGAGGAGGGAGGGGCTGACAGTCTAAGTTTCTTAAAATATATATATTTTGTTTAGCCAAATTAGTTAACAAACATGGATGTTTGTTTAGGCAAATCACATATGCTGGAATGTTATTGTTTCAGTTGAATAAATCTATTTAAATTGTTATTATTAAGGTAATGATTATTTTTCTCCTTCCTAAGTACAACAGAAAAGTTGTCCAAATATGAATGATTAACCTATTAAACTGGGGATAAAAAAACTATGAAAAGTTGTTGTTCTAAAAATCTTCATCTACTTGCATATTAAAGTTATACCAGCAAGAATTAGTCTTTATGTAGAAAACTAGGATTTCAATCGTGATTTAAATCAGTTTGATTTAAATCAAATCCACCCTGACAGCAAGTATAGAAAAGGTACCATATCAACAAAAGCGTTGTTCTTGCAGAGGTCTGGGGTTGAAGGTGGAGGGGGCAGGGGGGATGAGGGTCCAGGGAGGAGGGGCGAATTTGCATCAGATCAAGATCCGGGATAAAAGGGGATCCCTGAAAGCTTCACATAGTGTACACTGGATCAGAGTTACAAATATGACCCCTGCTTGCCATTCTGCCACCCATTGGAAAACATTACTCCAGTAATAAAGAACCATACAAACTCAATATTCAAGAGCATTAGGTCTCTAGCCTCTACCCAGTCAGCCCAGATTTTATCAAATTGTATCAGGCACTTCTGGCCCATATACGTTTTCTGTGCCATTGTTCATTTCAAGAATCTATTACTAAAAGCAATTCTGTAGGGCGTTGTAACCAAAGTATATGCCCAGGTGTTGTACTCTAGTTATGCCACATTACTTATTCTTTTATTTAAAGCTTTCTTCAACTCACTGATCCGTGCTAGAGAGTACCTTGAGCTAAAGGTGTAATCCTTTTTAGCCAGGGTTCCCCAAGACCTGATAATTATTTCAAGGGTTCCTCAGACAAGCCATGCTCAGTAGGGGTTTCTCTGAAGTTTGCAGGGGGTTCATTGTGCTGTTGCTTATTGACCTCTCATTTGATGGTGCCTTCATAGTTCTAGGGCCACCGCCACTTGGCATAGTCAGTGGCTTCACAACAATGATCTTTACTCATCTGTAAAGGTGGTATTTGGACAACCATTGAAACGGTACATTCTTCCCACTGTTCACTAATGTCAAGAGTTGACTTTAGAAAGGGTCCCACAGAGCCTGAAATTTTTTTTTTCCAGTGGTTCTCAGGAGTTAGATTGAGCGGCTATTCTGGATAATGACTCTTCTGACTTGGGTCTAAGTCCCATCCTGTTCCACTGATTAAAAAAAACCCATCTGAGATGGGAGGTTACACAACAATTTTTTAGAGGGTTAAAAGTATTTTGAAGAGCCTTCTGGTGCCTGCAGTTCAACTGTATTCATTTGTACGACGAATAGATGACGTGACAGGCCTGTTTTTAAACCGTATGGCGCTATCCACTGTCTTAGGACTTTTTCAGGAGTCAATAGCAGCTATCACCTAATCTAAATGGGAGTCTTTAATCGAATGCCTTGTTCCGGAATTCTCAATATTTGTTGTAGTAACTCATAGCCACCAAGCAGAATTTATTATTTGTTGGCTTTTGCAGAATGACTTGCTTCACTACAAAAAAAAAAAAAAAAAATTTAAATACCTTTTTGATTTAAGTTGTGTTTTGAATTGATTGTGTTTAATGCAGGTGTGGTGAAATTGTGATAAAACGGGAACAATTCAATGATCTCTCCATTGATCTACCACGAAGAAAAAAGCTATTAGCCTCGAGATCCATACAGGATTCCCTAGATCTCTTTTTTAGGGTATGTTTACTGAAATATATTTACATTCATGCACTGTTAATTCAAAGCCCAATTGAATTTTCCGTTTATATCTGCTAAAAAAAAAATCCAGGTTCTGTGTGGAAGAAGTGAAGTGATGGTCATGCAAAAGTCTGATTTTTTTTTTTTTTTTTTTTTTTTTTTTTTCCCCCCCACTGCTGCAGAGTTAGAACTCTCCAATTAGCAGGTAAGCTTTGCTGCTTGGAGAGCTCTATCTTTTACTCATCAGGGGAGCGTGTCTGACCTCTGGAGAGAGACCACTGCTTCCACATACAGAGCAGATGTCCTTTTCTGCAGCATGCTGGCAAGGAGTAGGCTTACTTAGGCTGCTTTTGTTTAAAAGAAAAAAAAAAAGTAAGCCCCGCACACGATGAGAATATCGGACTAATGATTGTCCTTTTTGTTTTTGAATATTAGTCTCATATTGAAAATGAAGAGGTTACTAATGTTACAAAAATGCTCGTGGGACAGAATTAGAATTTGGAAGTAATGTATTTGTATTGTTGACCAAAAACTGTGCTGATTAAATGAAAATCGTACAATCTGCTATCATTAGAAAAATTTTAGTGCTTGACCCTTTTTTGAATAATTTTGGGCAACCTGTCCTGATCGGCTCTCCAGAGCTGTGTACTTACAATCCGATTACTGTACAATTGCTTCAAAAGTTGTATATTTTTGTACGATTTGTTGATCATGTGTCCTAGGCTTAAAACGATTCTAAAGGTGTTTGTTTGGTTTTTTTTTCCTGTAAAATAACAAACGTGTATACTTACATGCTGAGTGTAGTGGTTTTGCACAGAGCAGCCCTGATCTTTCTTTCTTGGGTCCCCAGCAGGCTCTCCTGTCTCCTCCTGTTTTTCTGGTGCCCCCACAGCAAGCTGTGTCCATTCACACATGGGGCCATAACTTTGCACCACCCCCTCTCTCTCTCTTCTCATTGGCTGACTGGCTGTGATTGACAGCAGCAGGAGCCAATGGCTCCCGCTTGCTGTCTCGGCCAATGGGGAGGCAGAGACCTAGAACAGCCGAGGCTGTCATTCACTTCGCTGGATCGTCATGAAGCTTAGGTAAGTATTGAGGGGGCTGGGGGAGCTGCTGCACACAGGTTTTTTAACTTCATACATAGAATGCATGAAGGTACAAAACCTTGAGCCTTTAGAAGTACTTTAAGACCATTCATACCCTTTTGTTTACATTTCCCACTAATAGTATTTAGCTCATTTGGATTGAAAGATTGATTTAGCTTTGCTAATTTCTGAACAGTTGTGTGATGTGAAGGCTTGCCTGAATTATGCGCACCTAGAGTGTCTTTTCCCACTAGTTAAAGTGATAAAATATTTGGCTATATGTCACAGAAGCAGCTTTAGTGATCAATTTTCTGTGCTTCCTTAGGCTGCATTTACACTTGGTGATTTTGGAGTCACCGCAATTCCATATCCTGGTAAAACGTGAAATGCATTTTTTTGGGTGGCATTCATAATGGCACTCCAAACACTGCGATTTTGTTGTGCAACAGAATCATGGCAAACCTCACCTTTTAAAAAATCACAGAGCTCATCATCCAAAAATGGAGTAGAAGCGTCTTATGGGCAACAAACACACGTAGGGCAGCCCATTGAAGTGAATGGGCTGCCCTATGTCAGACGCACAGAAACCTGTATGAATTGTGTCTAAAAAATTGCAAGTGGGAACGCTCATTTCCTCTTCTCGACAACTAAATGGGGCCTTAAATATGTTTTGCATTTTGCATGAATTTTGTGAAAATTTAAAATCTTTCAATATTTCACAGATGGAAGATCTTGAATATTCTTGTGAAAAGTGCAATGGAAAGTCAGCGACTGTAATACACAAATTCAGCAGGTTGCCCAGGTAAGTGTTTTGTCAACTTTATATTTTTACAGGTTAGTCAGGAAAGGTCTAATCTACCAACAGATTTGAAAGTCTGTTCAGTCCTCTCTACGATGCATGCACTTCTAGACAGCGAGGTTCTGCACTCCTGAGACCTCTCTACAAAACAATATTGTATTTGAGCAATACAGCTTGGTCTAGGACTCATCCTAGCTTGTTATTGGACAGTGAAGGAGCAGAAGCCAAAATCTATTGAGATTGCCACTTTGCCGTCTTCTCCAACCAGGAAGCTTCCAGTATTCCAGAATTATGTCTCTGTGCAGAAAAACCAGGCCTGCTTGAGTTAAAGAACTGCCTTTCCCAGTTGAAATACTTCTATTCTGGGTAGACAATATGTGCAGTTTTTTTTTTTTTTTTTTTTTTTTAACTCACTACTGTTATATGGTACCTGGAGTTCAGCTTTAAGTATTTGTCTGTACCTGGTAGTCAAATTGAATGCATTCTTATTATTTATTATGACATGTCATAGTTACATAAAAAGACAAAAGTCCATCCAGTTCAACCATAGAAAAAAAAGTTATAATCCTACACCCACAGTTGATCCAGAGGAAGGCAAAAAACCCAGAAGAGCACGATGCAATTTGCTCCTGCTGGGAAAAAAATTCCTTCCTGATCCCCCCGAGAGGCAATCGGATATTCCCTGGATCAACTTTACCTATAAATGTTATATTCTGTGTATCTAAGAAAGAATCCAGGACTTTTTTTGAAGGAATCCTCTGAGCTGGCAAGAACCAACTCTTGAGGGAGTCTATTCCACATTTTCACAGCTCTCACTGTAAAGAAACCTTTCTGTGTTTGGAGATTACATTTCTTTTCCTCCAGATGTAAAGAGTGCCCCCTTGTCCTCTGTGATGACCTCAGGGTGAATAGCTCTACACCGAGTTCACTATATGAACCACTGATGTATTTATACATGGAGATCATATCCCCCCTTTATGTATTATTACATGTTGATCATATCCCCCTTATGTATTATACATGGAGATAATATCCCCCTTATGTATTATACATGGAGATCATATCCCCCCTTATGTATTATACATGGAGATCATATCCCCCCTTATGTAATATACATGGAGATCATATCCCCCCTTATGTAATATACATGGAGATCATATCCCCCCTTATGTAATATACATGGAGATCATATCCCCCCTTATGTTTTATACATGGTGATCATATCCCCCCTTATGTATTATACATGGAGATCATATCCCCCCTTATGTATTATACATGGAGATCATATCCCCCCTTATGTATTATACATGGAGATCATATCCCCCCCTTATGTATTCTACATGGAGATCATATCCCCCCTTATGTATTCTACATGTTGATCATATCCCCCCTTCTGTATTATACATGTTGATCATATCCCCCCTTATGTACTATACATGTTGATCATATCCCCCCTTATGTACTATACATGTTGATCATATCCCCCCTTATGTACTATACATGTTGATCATATCCCCCTTATGTAATATACATGGGGATCATATCCCCCCTTATGTATTATACATGGGGATCATATCCCCCCTTATGTATTATACATGGAGATCATATCCCCCCTTATGTAATATACATGGAGATCATATCCCCCTTATGTATTATACATGGAGATCATATCCCCCCTTATGTATTATACATGGAGATCATATCCCCCCTTATGTATTATACATGGAGATAATATCCCCCTTATGTATTATACATGGAGATCATATCCCCCTTAATCTCCTCTTCCCAAGAGAGAATAAATTCAGTTTCTCTAATCTTTCCTCATAGCTGAGCTCCTCCATGTCTCTTATCAGTTTGGTTGCCCTTCTCTGTACTTTCTCCAGTTCCCCAATGTTCTTTTTGTGAATTGGTGCCCAAAACTAAACTGCATATTCCAGATGAGGTCTCACTAATGATTTGTACTGGGAGTGGGGGGGTTGGGGGGTTTTGTAATATGATCTCTTTCTCTGGAGTCTATACTTCTTTTAATACAAGAGAGGATTTTGCTCGCTTTAGAAACCGCAGCTTGGTATTGCATGCCATTATTAAGCTTGTGATCTACCAGAACCCCCAGATCCTTCTTCACCATTGACCTCCCCCCCCCCCCCCCCCAATTCCATTATCTCCTGTGATTTGGAGACAAGCTATCCTGTGCATTGATACTTGCTGCAGAGGTACCCATTCAAGGAATGCATGCTGCCTAGACCCAGGGGAATACTGACGTACTCTAGCTTCAGAGTATGGTTAGGATCCCTGGGGCCCACCGACAGTAGCGAAGGAGAAAAAAAATAAAATGCCTTTCCTCCTTTTTGGAGATTTCACAAGCCTTGAGTATCTTGTGTTGAGGCAACCCAATTTTTGCTGATCGAGGTGTTTTAAAGTATAATTCTACCCATTAATGATCATTACATATTTATTTTGTGGATACTGCATTGTTGAATCGCTGCCATCCTTTTTGTATCCATTAAGAGTAGTGAGATGTTCACATCACATTTTCTGCTTCTCTTATTTCTGCAGGGTATTGATTCTTCACCTGAAGCGTTACAGTTTCAATGTGATCCTCTCACTAAATAACAAAGTTGGCCAGCAAGTGATCATACCGCGATATCTCACCCTGTCATCACATTGTACAGAGAGCACGCGGCCACCACTATCTCTGAGCTGCAATGCACAGACTGTAATGTAAGGATGCTCCTGTGTAATCTATATATACACTCGCAGTACTGTCTTTTCTTATGAATTTAAACCACTTTCACATTTTTTCAGGGCATGTGCTAAACACACTAAGTGTGCTGCAAAAGGGTATGTGTGTGTATGTATATGTGTGTATGTATATGTATATATATATGTATGTGTGTGTGTGTGTGTGTGTGTGTATATATATGTATGTATGTATGTATGTGTGTGTATATATATATGACACACACCACCCATTTTATTGGGTGCAACTGTTCAATTGCTTGGTAACATAAATTGCTAATCAGCCAATCGCATGGCAGCAACGCATTGCATTTTAAGCATCTAGAGATGGTGAAGACGACTTGATGAAGTTCAGGAATAGTAATGCTTAGTGCTCTGCTATATCCCCAGTCAAAACTATAAATAAAATACCATGACACCTCTTGATTGAAGGACAGCACACCACAACCTAATTTGCTGAAGTTCAAACCAAGCATCAGAATGGGGAAGAAAAGGGGATTTAAGTGACTTTGAATGTGCCATGGATGTTGGTGCTAAATGGGCTGGTCTGAAGATTTCAAAAACTGATCTACTGGGATTTTCACACACAACTGCTTTCTTCCCTATTTTGATGCTCTGTTTGAACTTCAGCAAGTCGTCTTTGCTACATCTAAATGCCTACCTTGTGATTGGCTGATTAGCAATTTGGTACCAAGCAATTGGAACAGGTGGACCTAATAAAGTGGCTGATGTGCGCGTGTGTATCTCCCAGAAGTGAGTGCACCCCTCACATTTTTGTAAATATTTGATTCTCTCTTTTCATATGACAACACTGAAGAAATGACACTTTGCTACAATGTGACGTAGTCAGTGTACAGTTTGTATAACATGTAAATTTGCTGTCACCTCAAAATAACTCAACACACAGCCATTAATGTCTAAACCGCTGGCAACAAAAGTGAGTCCACCCCTAAGTGACAAGGTCCAAATTGGGCCAAAAGTGTCAATATTTTGTGTGTGGCCACCATTATTTTCCTGCACTGCCTTAACCCTCTTGGACATGGAGTTCACCAGAGCTTCACAGGTTGCCACTGGAGTCCTCTTCCCCTCCTCCATGACGACATCACGGAGCTGGTGGATGTTAGAGACCTTGCGTTCCTCCACCTTCCGTTTGAGGATGCCCCACAGATCCTCAATAGGGTTCAGGTCTGGAGACATGCTTGGTCAGTCCATCACCTTTACCCTCAGCTTCTTTAGCAAGGCAGTGGTGGTCTTGGAGGTGTTTGGGGTCGTTATCATGTTGGAATACTGCCCTGCGGCCCAGTCTCCGAAGGGAGGGGATCATACTCTGCTTCAGTATGTCACAGTACATGTTGGCATTCATGGTTCCCTCAATGAACTCTAGCCCCCCAGTGCCGGCTCCCTCACTCATGCAGCCCCAGACCATGACGCTCCCACCACCATGCTTGACTGTAGGCAAGACACATTTGTCTTTGTACTCACCTGGTTGCCGCCACAACACGCTTGACACCATCTGAACTAAATACGTTTATCTTGGTGTCATCAGACCACGGGACATGGCTCCAGTAATCCATGTCCTTAGTCTGCTTGTCCTCAGCAAACTGTTTGCAGGCTTTCTTCTGCATCATCTTTAGAAGAGGCTTCCTCCTGGGACGACAGCCATGCAGATCAATTGATGCAGTGTGTGGCGTATGGTCTGAGCACTGACCGACTGACCCCCCCCACCCCTTCAACCTCTGCAGCAATGCTGGCAGCACTCATACGTCTATTTCCCAAAGACAACCTCTGGATATGACGCTGAGCACGTGCGCTCAACTTCTTTGGTCAACCATGGCGAGGCCTGTTCTGAATAGAACCTGTCCTGTTAAACCTCTGTATGGTCTTGGCCACCGTGCTGCAGCTCAGTTTCAGGGTCTTGGCAATCTACTTATAGCCTAGGCCATCTTTATGTAGAGCAACAATTCTTTTTTTTTTTTTTTTTTTTTTTTTTCCAGATCCTCAGAGAGTTTTTTGCCATGAGGTGCCATGTTGAACTTCCAGTGACCAGTATGAGAGAGTGAGAGCGATAACAACACCAAATGTAACACACCGCTCCCCATTCACACCTGAGACCTGAGACCTTGTAACACTAAGGGAAAAGGGCTAATTGGGCCCAATTTGGACCTTGTCACTTAGGGGTGGACTCACTTTTGTTGCCAGCGGTTTAGACATTAATGGCGGTGTGTTGAGTTATTTTGAGGGGACAGCAAATTTACATGTTATACAAGCTGTACACTGACTATGTCATTGTAGCAAAGTGTCATTTCTTCAGTGTTGTCACATGAAAAGAGAGAATCAAAGATTTACAAATATTTAAGGGGGGGGGGGGGGGGGGGGCCTCACTTCTGTGAGATAGTGTGCGTGTGTATATGTGTATGTGTGCGTGTGTATATGAATGTATGTATGTATGTATTATGTGTATATATATAATATATGTGTGTGTGTGTATATATACAGTCATGGCCGAAATTGTGGTTGGCACCCTTGATATTTCTCCAGGAAATCATGTATTTCTCTTTAAAACGTATTGCATTAACACATGTTTTGCTATACACTGTATTCCCAATGTGTGTTTGGGACAAAACAAAAAAAGGGAGGAAAGAAAGCAAATTCGACAAATGTCACACTCCAAACCTCCAAAAATGGGCTGAAGACCAAAGATTGAAGCACCCTTTCACAACTGCGGATAAATAAGAATGTTACAAGCATGTGATGCTCCTGAAACTCACCTGGGGCAAGTAACTTGGTGTGGGCAATATAGAAATCACACCTGAAAGCAGATAAAAATGGAGAGACGTTCACAAAACCTTTGCATTGTGTGTCTGTCTGTGCCACACTAAAGGGACAACAGAAAGAGGAGACGAGAACTGTCTGAGGACCTGAGAACCAAAATTGTGGCAAAATATCAACAATCTCAAGGTTACAAGTCCATCTCCAGAGAACTAGATTTGCCTTTGTCCACAGTGCGCAGACCTGTACCTTCTTCTGAGGATTAGCACTCATGCTACCCATGGCAACATTATCAAGAAGTTTGCAACCCATGGCACTGTAGCTAATCTCCCTGGTCGTGGACGGATGAGGAAAATTGATGAAAGATTGCAACGCAGAATAGTCCGGATGGTGGATAAGCAGCCCCAAACATGTTCCAAAGACATTCAAGCTGTCCTGCAGGCTCAGGAGAGCATCAGTTGTCAGCGCGAACTATCCGTCGACATTTAAATGAAATGAAACGCTATGGCAGGAGACCCAGGAGGACCCCACTGCTGACACAGAGACATAAAAAAGCAAGACTACAGTTTGCCAAAATGTATTTTGAGTAACCAAAAGCCTTCTGGGAAAACGTCTTGTGGACAGATGAGACCAAGAATAGAGCTTTTCGGTAAAGCACATCATCCTACTGTTTACCGAAAACGGAATGTGGCTACAAAGAACAAAACCAGTACCTACGGTAAAATATGGTGGAGGTTCAATGATGTTTTGGGGTTGTTTTGCTGCCTCTGGCACTGGGTGCCTTGACTGTGTGCAAGGTCCTGGGGTGGCCTAGCCAGTCTCAGATCTCAACCCATCATGAAAATCTGAGGATTACCAAAGGATTTTGGGTCGCACTGTAGGGCCCAGTGTCAGAAAGCTGGGTTTGCGTCCAAGACATTCCTGGGTCTTCCAGCAGGACAATGACCCCAAGGATACGTCAAAAAGCACTCAGAAATGGATGGCAAAAGAAGCGCTGGAGAGTTCTGAAGTGGCCAGCAATGAGCCCAGATCTGAAATCCCATTGAACACCTGTGGAGAGATCTTAAAATTGCTGTTGGGAAAAGGTGTTTTGATATTGCCCCCAGAGAGACCTGGAGCTGTTTGCAAAGGAAGAGTGGTCCAAAATTCCGGGTGAGAGGTGTCAGAAGCTTATTGATGGTTATAGGAAGCGACTGATTTCAGTTATGTTTTCCAAAGTTGGGGTGCAACCAAATATTAAGTTAAGGGTGCCAATACTTTTGTCCAGCCCATTTTTGGGGTTTTGTGTGACATTATGTCATATTTGCTTTTCTGCCTCTGTTTTATATTTGTTCCAATACAAAGGGAATAAACATGTGTATAGCAAAACATGTGTTAATGCAATACCTTTTTTGTGTGAAATACTTGTGTTTCAGGAAAAATATGTGGGTGTGTGTTGTCGGTGTGTGTATATATATATATATATATATATATATATATATATATATATATATATATATATATATATATATATGTGTATATATAGTTTCCCCACACTCCTGTATTCTTGCGAGGCAGCTTTACAACTGTCATTGACAGTGGCTTCTCTTTATCATCCACTGCTGTGCAAATATGAAAATAGGAAGCATTTCTCGGTCACTGTTCACGGTTGTAGAGCCACCGCGTAAGACTGCAGGAGTGTCATGTTAGGTGGATGAGAAGAAGCTGCTGTGGAGTGTCACATGGAGCGGCTGAGAAGATGACAAAGTATTATATGTTGGCTGTAAATCGATGGTAATTAAAACATTACTTCTATAGGTTTTTTGAAGACTGTCGATATTTAGATTTTGTTCCCATGAAACTTTGCTGCAAAATTGTTTTGTTTTTTTTTTTTTTTTTTTTTTTTACTGTTCTGTTTTTGTTTTTAAACATTGTTGCAAAAAACTCACTTGGGTTTTTACAGTCATGGTTTTCAATAATGTTATCTCTGTTCAAATTAATCTTCATGCTCTATGATTTATTTAAGGTGTTTTATGCTGACTGTGTCCTTTAATTTTGTTTAACCTATTCAGGAGTTCCCGTCCATTAAAAGCGTCACAGATGGTAAATTCCTGCACTGCTAATAATGTTATTTCACGG